TGCATATTCACAAGCAGTGATAGGGGAGATTTACAGAAGGCCCTCTGTCCATCCCTGATTCCATGCGGCCATGGTGTCCTAATTATTGACAAATTGCATCTATAGTATTTTCACCAGAATGTTTAAATGTTGGACCACCATATATCTAACCATAGCTCTATGTTAGCATGTGCAACTATGGTTTGGGTTGAACACACCATGTTCAAGTGATTCTCATGTTCCTTTGTTATCAGGATGCCTTTAGGCTGCACCCACTTTTGCTGACTTTATTGCAGCTGTACTTCCCAGTTTGCTCTCTTTGAAATGTCCAAATCTTCCACAATGAGCATTGCGAGCACTACCCACTAGTTGCCATACAGACATATGGTACAAATAATATGCCCTTCCATATCGACAACGGTAGTCTGTCTGTGTGGAAGGAATGGAAGGATGCAGATCATTTGCTATCTTACCTGAGTTGTAACTAATGGTACCGCTCTCTGGATGTACACATGGGGCATATTGAAGCCGATGTCCAGGAGAGTGTGATCTGCGCGTGGACAGCGTGCGGCTGTGGCTGCACACATTTGGTGCTCGGCGCCAGATGTCTACGTGGGACGCGGATCGGCGGCTGGGCGCGGCAGTGGCTGGCACATGTTGGGCGCGGAGAATCGCAGGGCATGGCAGGCGTGACGTCTCTCGAGCGCAAGGTGTGCTGCAGGTGGAGGGCTCTGCTAGTTCTCTGCTCTACTGCTTCAAGGTGTGCTGCAGGTGGAGGGCTCTGCTAGTTCTCTGCTCTACTGCTTCGCTCGAGCGGCTTTGATCTTGATCGGGTGCGAGTTGGGTCTCTGATCTGGTTGTTGTTCCTCGTGCTGCGGCGGTGGTGAAGATCACGGTTGTGGGCGACGGCTATGGCCGAGGGTCGGTGTAGTGGATCATCGGATCGTGCGGTCAGATCAGGGTCAGCCTTGGCAGGTGGGTTGGTTGGTGGGCGGTGGTCGGTGCCGGTGCGGGATAGCAGGTGGTCGGTACATCTTCAGGAGAGTTCCTCTTTTTGGTCTTAATCGGAACCGGCGATGATGGCGCTCATGAGTGCCGCAACCTTTCTTGCAAGCATCGTTGTGGAGGTGTACTCTTTTGGTTTTGGAGGGAAACCTTAGATCCACTGGATCGGGTGATGGAGATGTCTTCACGTCTTTCTCCTCCTTGAGGCTTGTCCATGTGGTTTGTTGAGGCAGCGGTTTTAGGGTGCTGATTTCTGTTTTGCAATGATGATAATAATGTGGAGAGGTGCTTTGAAAAAAAAAATGATGTGGAGAAGAGTTTGCCTTGCAGCTCAGGCTTCGGTAGTCGGTTCTGTCAGGCGTGTCCAAAGAGCTCTTTCATTTGCCCACCCCTAGCATTATGTCAAATGAGGCACAGCCTCAATCTTAAAGGAAATTTTAGCCTTCCATAGACGCGTAAAGATCTATCTGGGCCCAACCTCATCAGCCATTGTTGCTATAACGAAAGGTAAAAGTAAACGTGGGCATATTGAACACAGTCACACAGCACAACATGCAGCGGATCAGTGGCCCATACAGGCGGATCCGGTGATGATGCCAAACCTATGTAAACAGTCCAAAACTTTAACTTTTGATCTTGTCCATCTCGGTGTCCTGGGGCTGGGGGTTGCTCAAGTGCCCACTGCTGTACGCATTTGTGGTGGGGGCTTCAGTTTGTTGGGCCACTTGCTTGGAACCACACAAAGCTATGATCACAATGCTGGGAATGGAAGCACATGCATAAACTTCTCGTCTTTTTTTTTTTTGATTTGACACCTGCATAAACATCTAGTCGGTTCGCGCGAGTGGCATACGAAAGTTGGACGCCTAACACACCGACCTGGATAACTACCTCCATGCATCTGCTTGTACGCATGCACCCCAACAATGGCCTGGCTTAACCACTTGGTTTGGCCCCATTTTTCAGCGCGTTTGCTAATGGTTGATCGTTTGAAAATGGAACCGGCGTCAGCTGCTTGAAAACGGAATCAGCACCACGGTTTCCCCGAAAGAGAAGGTCAGGCACGTAGCACCGGGGCGGTCTCCGGTTGGACCGGGTCGAGAACAATCCGGAGACGGGGATGACATGGCTAAAGAGAAATCGAGGCTTGGCAGGTGTGTGTGCGGTCATGGGATGGTCGCTGGCGTTGAGTCAGGGGAGAGGGGCGGAGGTCAACATGAGTACACGGAGGAAGACGAAGGCGGCAAATCGACTAACGCAATTTTTTTCCGGCCAATGCCGTGGTTTGTCGGGTACTAGTTCGTCCCCCCAAGGGCGGCGGCGGTGAATCCATTGTCGCAAATTTTCTTTCTAGGCAGGTGAGATATAGCCAGTCTCATTTTTCGTATATCAAGGAGTTAAGGAGTTAACCCAGAGGGCGGCAACGTCTTTTATTTAGGCCTCCTTTGGTTTGTAGGAATTTTATAAATTTTTTATAGGATATGATTTGCAAAGGAAATTTTTTTTGAAGCCCTTTGATTTGTAGGAATGAATTCCTATTCCTATATAGGATAGGAATTAATCCTTCACATTTTCGAGGAAAAAAACATTAACTAAGACTCAATGAAAAAAATCCTATCCTATGCATCAAATACATGTCACCTCATTTTCTATGATTTTTCTATTCCTATAATATTCCTATCCTATGAACCAAAAAAGGCCTTATCTTGGATGCATTAACTCACATATTTTATTTTTCTGCCTTGCATTTCCGTAAATGTTCACACTCTCGAAATTTCATGCACCACTGGACATGTTTGGTGAGCTTCTTCTTTTAAGTACACTGAGTGATAGCCTGTTCCTTTTTTGTTCTTGACCCCAGGTCCCCAGCACAGCACAACACTGGCCACCGGCCAGCGCCAAGGTTTCCCGGCCGGCCGTGTCCTGGTCATCAATACTACCCTGCACTATTCCCTCGATCTTTTCTTAGGTACGCCCGGCGTCCACCACAGCCTTGTGATGCTTTTTCTCTTTTATTTTTGGCAAAGGATTTACCTTTGAGGTTTTTTTTGATTCAAATGATTTTCATATGATTTTGAAAGGATTAGAATTCTTAGAGCATCTACAACCAGAGTTGGCACATCCAAGCCCGTATACGTCACCGCGGACGCACCCACGGGCAGCGCTGGCGGGTCTTCATTTGTCCTCCTTCACAACCACACTCCTCATATCCCAATACCCAAATCCATGCATGTTCATCATATAGCGCAAATTCATCACAAATTCAACAATAAGAAGTAAACGGTAATTCATTACATGCCAAAATAAAGTTCAACAGCTCAATACATAGATAGGCAATACACGAATGAATCAATGGCCTCAATTATGGTGATATTGATCCTCTTCTTCATGCGGACCAACCGTTTCTTCCTTTCATCATCCAAGAGGTTGATGTCCCGCAATATGATCCTCGACTCCTCCACCTCCCTCGCAAGCCTCAACTTCTCTCTCTTGAACTCAAGTCCTTGCTTTGTCATTGTTTGTTCAAACTCCCATTTTGCAACCTTCTCTTGCCTCTCCAATTCTATTTTTTTTCCTTCTCCAAGGTCAACCTCTACCAGTCGAACTCCATTTTCTCCCTTTGCACATCGATGAATATCTTGTACATTTACTCCTTCACCTCCTTGGCAGAAAAATGCCCGTCCAAATGGCGGACATTTTGTTTGCTGCGCATTCATGTGCCACCCTCTCCTCCCACTTGTTCCCTATCACTTATCATGGTAAATTGCAAAAGATTCTTGACTATCATTTATCATGTCTTGCAATATTTGTTCCAACAATATGCATTGCAATTTAACTATCATCCTACAAGTTTGATCATATGGTATGTGCAACAAAAGAATCTATGAATGCAAGTGTGAAAGGGGGAAAAATAATGTATCGGGTCTTGGTCGGGCGTTTCGTCGAACAACATGTGGGCATGCCCGGAGCCGGCATTGCCAGACATCGCCCAATTCCTTTGGAGTTGCGGCAAGTTGGCCATCGTCGACCCAACGGGAACGGCTTGCAAAACGCTCAAAATCAGGATGCTCATCCACTAGGAGGGCGGGACGGAATCGGACTCCGTTGACAAGTTGTTTGTCCCCGCGGCCACGACCTTTGGATTGGTCTGTGTCGCACCAAAGTCCATGCCCTCACCACCAGGCACGAACGCTATCTCAACACCGACCACCTCCGTAGCTGCCTTCGCCGCTGCCTCCTACTCACATTGCCTCTGGCGGCGGTCCTTCCGGGCAAGGTTCTCCGCCTTGCAAGGATCAGTTGCAGGCAGAGGAGCCCGACCAATTCCCCAAAGGCATCATCCGTGACCATGGTGGTGGACAGGGTTGTCGGCGATGACATCAACGATGACAGAGAGGGACAGGGAGCAAGGGAGGAGTTGGGTGGCTGTGTGAAGGCGGGAAATGGAGGATGGAGGCGGGAGGAGTTGGGTCGAAGTGGAGTGCTAGTCTTTTTTGAGAGGATTTGGGATAGGCCTGGCCTGTGGGAGATGAGGTGGTGGGCGTGTCCGGGC